TGGCTCTTCCCAGGGGGCCAGGGCCTCCAGCTGGCCCCTTGGCCCCCTGCTTGTCCAGGGGAGGGGCAGAGTTCTGGAGGCTGGCTGTGCCCCCCCACCGTGGCCTCCAGCAGGTCCAGGAGGAAGCAGGGCTTGGTGGCCAGTACCAATCTCCAGCTGCCCCCCTGCCCTGAGGGCTGGCCCCGGGTGCAGCTGATCTGGAGATGCAGGGCTCCAGAGTTCAGCTCCAGCCTGCAGCTGCACCCCACTGTCCTGCAGGAAGTCAGGGTGGGGTTCTATGGGCTGTCCCCACCCTCCAGTGCCCTTCCTGCCCTGCAGCTGGCTCGGGGGGCTGGCCCCTCCCTGCAGTGGCTCCCCTGCAGCCTAACCATGGGTGTGGCAGGGCTACAGGGGCTGCCCCAGGCCTGCAACAGCCCCCTGCCCTTTGGCCTCCAGGATGTTCACAGGAGGTGGGGGACCAGACTCTGGGGGCCAGCCCTGGCCTGTACCTGTGCTCCCCTGCCCTGCAGCTGGCCAGGGGGAGGCTCCAGGGGCTGCCCCTGGCCTGCAGCAGCCCCCTGACCATCTGTATGTGGGATGGGCCAGGTTCCGGGACCTATCCCCAACCTGCAGATGTCCCACTCTGAAGGCTTGTAGCCTGTCTGGGGCCGGGCCATGATTCCAGGTCCTAGCCTCTCTTGGGGAGGGCAGTTCCTAGGTGGGAATGGGGGGGTCCCAGGTGCGGGAGCTGGGGGAGGGTGCCCTGCAGGTGGGGATCATCCCCCAGCATGTTTTGGAGTGGAGGGGCCATTCACCTGCTCTGTTGCGGAGCCCGGTCCCCAGCTGGCCAGTCTCTTACTCAGGGGTGGGCAATAAAAAACGGCAGCCCACGGGGTGAGATCACAGCTCTGGATGGCCACGAATCTGGCCACTGAGAGCTGTGACCCTCCAGTACCTGCAGAGGCGCAAGTAAACATGGAGGTGGGAGCCCGCCGGGGACTTCCCCTGCAAACCGGATCAGGCACGCGGCCGGAATTCGCCTGCCCCTGCTCTCACCGATGAGGCTGCCCCTAGTGGTCACTCTGCTCATTGCCAGTGGTGACTGTGCGTATCGTGCCCCTTCTCTCTCTGCCCCCTCCCGGTCCATGTTCTGGATAACAGTCCCATTCCTGGCACTTCCTGTTTTGCTGGCACAACCAAACCCTGAGCTGGTTTTAAATTAAGGGAAGATGAAGCTGCAAACCAAATTTGGTGGCCCTGGCTCTTACTTTTTAGGAGGAGTTCTTGAACAAACAGACTTGCAGACAGAAGCCCAAATCTCTAAGATTAGACAGACAGACAGACAGATTTAACATTTGATGCTCTGTACTAGTTGTGCCTGAGGTTATTGTGTAGTCAGCATTGTGTGTACACCAGGGGATCCAATCTGCCAGGGTTAGCCACTGGTGGTCCCTCACACCACCGTATTTACCTGCACCTCCACAGGTACAGGGATCACAGCTCCTGTTGGTCGAGGATCACCATTCCCAGCCCATAGGATTGTGATCGCCTGTACCTGTGGAGGTGCAGGTAAATATCGCGGAAGCAGCCCACTTTATTGTCCACCCCGGTCTTCGCCTTAGCTTTTAAAGAATGTTATCCCTCTTTGGTATCTACATAGTCTTTGCCATATGCATGGTATTATGCATCTTTATATATACTTGCAATATTGTGTAGTAATTTTCAGTAAATAGCAAAGTTACACACACTTACTAAACACACTTGCAACACACACATTAAAATAGTCAATGCTAAATTACTGACATATTTAGAAACATAAAAATTGCCAGACTGGATCAGAACAATGTTCTGGATCCATTTCATCCAACGTCCTGTCTCCGACAGTGGCCTATTCCAGATGGAAGATGCACAAATCCTCTCATGGGCAGTTATGGAATAAGCTGTCCATCGGGAAAGTGTCTTCCTGACTCAGGTTTGTGTCTTTTGTTAGCTTATGTCCTTATATCTCAGGTCACTGTGGATGTTCACATCCATATCTAATCCCTCTTCTGAAATTTATTAAGCTCTTAGACTCACCCACATCCTCTGGCAGTAAATTTAATATCAGATCTTGCTCTGGTAGAGTGAAGGGACCCCGCCCAGTAGTGGAAGGCTGCTGTGTCTGTCAATCAGGAGGAATACTGGCTATAGAAGACCAACAACACAGTATCTGACCCTCAGGAACAATCTTCCAGTATTTAAAGGTACATCAGAAAACAGCGCCTTTAAAAAATGCAAACAAAACAAAATCTCCCACGCAAATCTAGCTTTCAGGGAAAATTTACAATTTCACTCTGTTTTTAGCAACTAGTTTTTCTGTCTCACAGAAACCCTATGATTGCTTAATGTGTGAGATCAGACCTATCTAAGGAAGTTGTGCTCCCTTTCAATGAAAAATTCTGGTTCACAGCAACTTCTTAGAAACACAAAAGCAAACAAAATGAAACACTCCCCTTTCAAAACAGGTCTGACAAATGTCCAAAACTTTGACGTGCAGTTCTGACCCTTACCCTTGGTGAGTCAGACTGATACTGCATTCATCATCCAAGATTTTGTTTATGCGCTTTGCACCAGATGAAACTTATCTATTTGCTATGAACACCTGACACTTTCAATATGTTCAGGGTGCTCTATGACATTTTAAAAAAATAATCAATTGCATCCCAGGATAGAAGCTTAGCCAGTTGATCTGTGGCTGACCTAGCAGCAGAAGAGTGGGTAACTTTTTGGAGAAGAGAGACCTCAGGCAAATGTAAATGGAGTGTGACTTTTTAGAAATCTCTCCTTAACTCCTGCAGGTGGAAATTGGACCCATCTGTCTCCTTCCACTTCCTACCTCCCTTCCTCTGCACCCATTATTTTACCTTTCTGTTCTGTTGTTTTATTAATCCAGTCAATGGGGCGGGGGGAAGGGGGGTGTCAGGATTTTCAATAAAAGTATCACTTTAAGCAAAGAGAGATGTGTGCTGAGCAGGCCGGTGTTGATAATCCTTTCCCCATTCACTCACATCCATTATAAAATTGTGACCCTTCCCCTTCTGATTCTTTTGTTTGTACTTTCAAATGTCATCCAGTGGTAGCTATAGAACACCAACTGGGAAGTAAAGCGGAGAGCCAGGAAACATCTCCAAAGTTAAGTACTGTACAATTCTGCTTCTTTCAGGAGTCCCTTGCATGCTGTCCTACCCCACTACCCCCATCCCAGTACTCTGGTGTAAACTGACAGGTCCATGAACAGCACAAAGGTCATGCCAGATGACAGCTATTGAGGATCAGGTCAGTAGTTTACAAATTCCTTCCCAGGGAGTTTGGAACCAAGATTCCTCTGCTGCTTTCTGGGAAAATAGCCAGGCCAGACTTTTCCAACTTTGCTGGCTAAAATCAGGGCATCTGATTCATTTGTATTTAAGGGCCTAAACAGATGTGCAGGCGCCTCGCTTTGGGCAGGCCAAGTGTGAAAACGTGTCCTTGGTGTCAGCAGCGATGGGATGCATCAAACAGGGGGCTGCTGCCTGGGCCCAGCTTTTAGCTACACCCCAAAAACTGGGGGCAGAAAAGTCCTGGCTCGTTGTTCCTCCCCCTGTCCCCTGCTCTGTCCCTGGGAAGGCCACAGCGCCAGTTGCTACTCTCGTGCCCCAGCGGCACAGGCCGAGGGAAGGCGCAGGAGGGAGGGTCCCTGGCCCCAGGGCGAGTGGAGGGCGGTTACCTGGGTCCCGTGGGTGCACTGAGCATGGGAGTCCTCAGCCGCCAAGCCCGTTCCCAAAGGCAGGTCCCGAGCGCTGCGCCGTGCCGGCCGCGGGGAGGCGGAAGTAGCCGAGTCCCGCTTCACATGGCCCAGGCTGCGCCCAGGAGGAGGAGCCGCGGCCGGGGGTGAGCCC